TAATTTATAAAAATAATAGAACATTTTACTTGATTGAATATAGTGTGGAGTAATAATATTATTATCCTCAATTGCTTAAGTAATCAAGGTTTGAAGATTTAACTTAATATCAGCAGGTATTTTTTCTAGAGGTGGAGGTGGATGGTTATGTGTCCCAACACATACTATTGCAACAAACGGGCATGCTTCAAGATCCCGTGGAATAAATTTGTAAAATTTTACTGGACAATTTTTTTGAATTATATCCCCACGGTCAATATTTCCATTAGATAGCCGATGAATATAATCTGTATAAATAAAGTAAATTATTAGTTTAAATTAAATAAATTATTAATTATAGTAGAAATATATGTACCACATTTTTTTCTTTTGGATGATCGATGTAATAAAGTTGTACAATAAGGTAATTCTTCTTGTATCTAATAATAAATTAATATTATATTAATTATATAAGATAGTTAATTATATATATATATATAATACCTCTTCTTTTTCAAGAAATAAATCTCGAAGAAGTATAATATCAACTTTTTCACTATCAACTTTAATATAACGGTGCCATTTATCTCCAACACGATACATTGAACAGCCAATAAACCATTGATATACATTCGGTAGATCTTGAGAAATACGTGATTTACATAAAACCGGATTTCCAGAACAAGCAATTTCATTATTATATTTGAATTTGCAAGATGTACCCTTAGCAGCTAAATAAGTACTAAATTTAAAAAAAGTTAATTTTATGATAATATATATTGGACAATATTTATTTATTAAAATATATTTACATGTAAGTACTTGTTTTTTTAAAATCAGTATTGCGATTTTCAGTAATGTTTTTCCATAACGATGATTCAATATCAACCTCATTGTGCTCAATACTTGTAAGCGAAGGATCAGTAAATTGACAAACTTTGATTCCCATACAATCACGTTCTTCCTTATTTACTTGAACATTGCCAAAATATGGAGATTCTTTAATCAAATGAATTCCACCACCACCCATAGAATATTGTACCTAACATAAATAAATTATGCTGTAAATCTAGTTTATATAAATTAATTTTAAATTAAAAAAGTTTTTACATTTTTCCATGCGTGACTTGGATCAGCCCAATCTGTAATATGGAATATCGTTGCAACTCCTTCTGGTGAAGTAGCTGGATATTCGATAGGTAGGTTGGAATGAATTATAGTTTTTATGCGAAACCGGGATGTAAAACATGCTATCTCTGGAATTTCTTCGTCATCAATTGATTCCTCTACCAACGACTCTGTTTCAGATTCCTAATAATAATTTTAACTTTATAAAACAGACGTTTACTATTTAAAACATTTTTGTATATTACCTGTTCGAATTCAGGGTTTACTTCGTCAAATTGAAATTCTTCAACGTCGGATATATCATCCATATTTGCAACAATCGAATCAAAGTGGATCGTTACTATAAGAGGGATTTTGACAAATATAGGAATCACCATAAAATCAATCACGATCATACATAAAATCAATCATATGATGTACTAAATGTGTAATCGAATCGATCATGCATTAAATATATGTAATCGTACGTCTGAGCATAAATTTTCTTTTTTTACGTCCGTACGTACTAAATTGTACTACCGTACTGTACTAATTTACTATATACCCAATTTTCGTATGTCCGTACAGTACTACTTTACTGAATACCTATTTTCCGGGATGGGTTTGCGTGCGTACATAATAAGTACGTACAAATTTTTGGTAAACTCAGAAACTGATGATCTTTCCAGCTTTGAAGCGTTAAATGGGATCGGCTTTCAAGAAAATTTCTTTATAAGTCTGCTAAATGGGAATAGGAGTACGTACGTACTACGATATCTTGCGTACTTTGAAAATCATCTCCAAACTTTTATTAAATATGGGGTACGCTTAACTATTAATTAGATAGCCGCGCGATATAGTTGCGCCTAGAGCAAAAATGTGTAATGTATGTATTATAAAAGTTTAAGGTTAAAGCATAATTAGTAATCAGTATAGTTTAATATTAAATGAGTGTGTGAGAGTGAAAACCTGGAAACACATTTAATGATTTACTATGATTGGTTACAGGTTTTCACTCTCATGCACTCAAATAATGACATTAGTCAAAAAATCACAAGGTCATTTTATAGTTCATTCGAAAAAAAGCTAGATTAAAAATTACATTATGAATGCGTTTCTTACTTTAACGATCCCTATAATTTTGACATACAATCATTTCAATCATAATATAACTTTTGAATCATCTCGACTTGAATAAAAAAAATTTTACTGAAATAACCAAAATTAGGCATTACTTACTTTGGTTTTGTGTCTCTTAATACTTAATATGTGCGAACCACCTTTAACATAAATCATTAAAATTTTTTATTTTTTATAAAGCTCTTTGTAACTTAATAAAAAAAGAAGATTCCCATCATAGGATACAAGGCTAGGAACGAACGTACGTACGATTAGAACTTTTTAATTTTTTTCACATATAACTATATAGCAATCGTAAGGATCATCGTTATATAACCTGGTTTGGTTTGATTTTACAATATATATACTGCGTCACACACTAACCCCAAGGGGCATGCTCTCTATTATATTAGGGAGGCCGCATACAGTTACCCCACAAACATTGATTTCTTAACATTTTCGAATTAGACATGTCAGGTAATTTTTTTTTAAAAAAAACCATGATCCCATTTCTATTAGTTGTTTGAAAGATTATAATTTATTCTCCAAATTTAATAGTTCTCGCAATTGAACGAGCTGTTGCAATCAATGCAGTCTTAAGGGCTAGCAAAGTTTGTCAAAAAGTTTTTCAAAGCCTTGTGACAAGTGATACGGTTATTAAGAAAGATAGATCCCCTGTAACGGGTATTTAGAGTATATTTTATAATTCATGTTTATATTCAGGATGTGTATTCTTTCTGTATTAATTAAAAAATTTTTTTTTTATTTACATTTAAAAAGTTGCTGATTTTAGTGCGCAAGCAGTGGTAAACACAATATTATACGAATCTTTTCCAAATGATCCAATTGTTGGAGAAGAAGAATCGGGAAGCTTACGAGGCGATAGTGGAAAAGAACTGAGAGATAAAGTTTTATCATTAACAAACACTGTGTTAGATACTCCCTTGGATGATAAAGAGGTTAGATATAACAGTATTCTTATTTGTTTTAGAAAAATATAATTATTTACGTTTTTAATTTAATTAATTCGTATAAAAGCTATTGGCTGCTATTGATAGAGGTTCTTATCCCGGTGGTTCCCATGGAAGTTAGTAATAGAATCATTCTGGTGATTTTTTCATTGCGTTTGATACTATATTATTAAAATAACTTGTGTATTAGGAATGTGGACTATTGATCCCATAGATGGGACAATGGGATTTCTTCGCGGAGAACAATTTTGTGTTGGTCTAGCATTGATTATTGATGGCGATGTTCATATTAGTGTTTTAGGATGTCCAAATTTACCAGTAGATTTTAAATCTCCCGAAATTGAAAGAGGATGCTTATTTGTTGCCGTTAAAGGACAAGGAGCTTTTCAGGTAAAAAATATAAATAAAATAAATAAATATATATATATATCATATTTTCCAATTTCATTTTTCTAATTATGGTTTGAAATAACCAAATAATAGCGCAATTTCTCTTCAACTGAGGAAACACAAATCCATATGGCGGACATTTCATCATCATCAGCAGCCACATTTTGTGAATCTGTTGTGCCAACACATTCTTCACATAAAGAAGCGGCAGAAATTGCATCATTACTCGGAATCACAAAGCTTCCTCTCCGCTTGGATAGTATGTGTAAATATGCCGCTGTTGCCAGAGGTGATGCTAATATTTATCTAAGATTGCCTGTTCGTATAGATTATGAGGAGAATATCTGGGTACATATCATTAAAAATTATATAATTTTTTTTTATTGTACATAATAATAATTTTATTTTCTTAATTAGGATCACGCACCTGGATTTCTTGTTGTTAAGGAAGCAGGTGGTATAATTACAGATATTCATAATAAACCTTTGGATTTCTCTTTGGGAAGAACTTTGAAAGCTAACAAGGGAATCGTGGTTACGCATTCTAAAATACATGGACAAGTAATTGACGCCGTTCAGAAAGTTGTTTTAAAACAATAGACAATATTCATCTGAATTATCCTATCCCCAATTATAACATTCACATATATTAATTATATATTAATTATAATAATTCGGAGAATGTTTGAAGATCTCCCGATAAGAAAAAAAAACTCTTCTTTATAAGTTTTCAATAATAAAATTGAATAGGAAATTTACAGAATGTCATTTCTGACTTTTACCACAAGGAACTTTAAAACACATGATTATATTGTTTATGTATATCTAAATTTTGAAAGTAGTTTGTTTCACGATTACATACACGCTATCATTAGCGCATTATTCAAAAATATGATGTTTGGTTTACACATTCGACTTAGTAATTAATTATTTCTAAGGGGAGTTTAATCGCCTACTTATGGACTTTGTAGACTTGTTTACGAATCTACTCACCAATGCCTGAATTCTGCTTTACCGTATTTGCGCGAAATAACGCCCATGGACGTTAGTTCGGAGCACAGTTTGAAGAGTGCTAATAATTAATTTAGCCGAAGACTTTTTAATACCAAAAAATTATGATTAGCACTCGGATTAATTATGAACTCATTTCACGAAATAAAATTACTTCGCGCAAAATATGTAAAATATGTCTTACTAATCAACTACGTAACTCGTTCAAAATGGCTTAAGCATCAGAGATGTTAACAAAGACCCTTAAAAATGTTGGTTAACAACTCTTTATAGGGTAACATTTTTTATTAATAAAATTAGTGTTATACAATAGAGTGTTAAAAACTTTAGTTATTAAATTAAATAATTAGTGTTACTTAACACATACATATTGTTTAGCACTAATTTTTTTAATAAAAATCGATAACTTATAAGGGTTTGTTGACCTGCATTTTTTTAAGGGTGTTATTTTTAACATCTTCCGAATTTCCTGATGATAGTGAGTATAGCTTTTCCTACTGCGCTACAAAAGAGATGTTTTTTTGTTATCGATTTTCTGTGAACATAAAACAACAGTTTAAGAATGCCAAATAATATTATATTGTTCTCATGAGAACAATATTTGAGTCCAAAATTTCAAACACTGCTCGAGATATAAAAAATTGATGACCGAAACTGTTAAAAAATCTTTACCCGAGATTAGGTGTATGATTACCGAATTTTAGATTATTTTAGCGGTAAAAATTCATAACAGAAAGATTTAAAGGTGTGCTTGTTATTATTACTTTTATGTTTAGCAAAACCAATCTAGTATTGGTAATTTTATTAAGCGTGATACACCATCCTGATAGACTTTAAATTAAATATAATAATTCAAATTTTTACATATCAATAAGCAACCAAAAAATATATATAATACTTGAGCACTTATATAATTTATTTATAAAGAAAATTTTTATCTTTTTTTGATTCGATGTTTTTTTAAAAGAATTCAAATTTGTTCAATTTTTTTAAAAAAATTAATAAAATTATAATAATTTTTTTTGTTTGTTTATTTTTAATATTAAAGGTGAGACCTAATTTTTAATTTTTAATGTTAATTAAACAAAATTAAATATTGTTTTGTTTATTATACAGTTATTTAATGTAATATTTATAAAAAAAATCTACAAAAACTTATATAAAGTTATTATGGTTTTTTTTGAAGCTAAGGTAAGGTTTTGCTCATATTTTATTAATTTGTTGAAGATGCCTTTAGAGTGTATATATATAAATTATAGAATTTATTCTAATTATAAATTTATTGTAAGAGTAAAATTCTGACTATATAAAAAAAATGTTACCTATACAAATGTTATCTATACAAATGTTATCTATCTAATTTATTTGTAATCTAAACCTATTAAAGTAGTTAAAATTTACAGATTTAATTACGTAAGATATTATTTGTAAAGTGATTATATAGTATTCAATGATTAAGTCATATATTAATTTTGTATAATGCATATTTAAATGGTGAGTAAGTATTTAGATTAGTATAGTTTAAGTTTAATAATTTGTATAAATTGTAAATTGTATTATTTAGTTGATATTTATTAATATAATATACATATATTATTATAATTAGTTTATATAAATCTGGTTCTAATATATTATAAAATATTTTTTTTTATTGTGTTTGTTTTTTTTAAAACTTTATCATAATTTGTATTGAAAATTCACAAAAGGTTTTCTAATTAAAAGTTGAATTTACAAATTTTTATAAAAATAAGATTTAGATTATAGATATACTAAAGATAATACTGTTTTTTTTTTTATAATTATTTTAATTAAGAACTTTTTAATAATTATATTAAAGACTATAAAAAAATTACTTTTTCGTAAGCACATTATAGTAAGAATCTTTTTTTTTTTAATTTTAAGCAGTTATGCTAGTACTTTATTAAGATTCTTAAAACTATTTACATTTATAATTATATAGAATTTCCTAATACTCAAGTCTAGCATTACTTGGCCACCCTATTGGTACCTAAGTGCAACCTGCTGCACTATCTTAGAGATAAACTGCTCATCTAACTGCTTAAAGCCATACCAGAAAGGTCTTCTCTCTTCTGTGACAAGCATATTAATTGTCTTCTAACTTTTTTCTTCATTTAGTTTATTTTTTCTACTTTCTTTCCTTTTTTTTCTTTTTTTGTCATTTTATTCTTTTTTGTTCTTTTCTCTAATCTTCTTTTAGTTTGAGTATCTTTTTTTATATTACTTGTTATATTAACCTTCTTTTCTCATTTTTGTACTTTTCCATATTGAACTCTTTATACTTGATTATAGAATGTATTCTACACTGTTCTTGTTACTATATTTATGCATTTCTGTGTCATTTGTCTATCTAGAATCTAATTGATTCTTTTTCCAATTTTGTTCATTGTTAGTCTTTTTATTAAAGCCATTCTATTAGTAATTTTCTCTGCTTCTGTTTTCCCAAATAGTACCTTATATAGTATTAGAGGTGGAATTCCAACTCTTTCCTTTTCTTTAAGACTGTTTCAAGCTGCTGCTATTGCTACTTTTTGGATTCTCTTCCACAAGCTTTTTGTTTGATGCAACTTGCCAGATGTACTTAAGTTTCCTTTTCATCTTTTTGATATACTTAGCAGTTTGTTATTGTATATATTTCTGGTCTTCTTCTATTTAATTCTTCTAGTATTAGTAGGCTATCCATTATGCATTTAATTGTCATTACTCTTCTTGTACTAAGTTTTCTTGTTGTACAATATATATCTTTTGTTCTATTCATCTCTTTCTAAAAGCTTGACTAATTATATTAAGTGTTCTTAGTTTCTGGCTTTAGTGCTTAAATTGGGTTTATTCCTCTTCAATTTGTTCTAATTCTGGTATTTGTGACTATTTTGCAAAAAAGTCTTATTGATATATCAACTTTCTTGTTTTCTTATTCTAGATAATACTCTATTCTGTCATACTTGATCTTCTCTACAAATATTGTTCTTTACATGTTGCTTCTTTTTTTGCAAGTAGATCTGCTCTGTCATTCCACTTATCATTACTATGACTCTTAACTTTAACTAGTTCTATTCTATTATTCTTGCTTTTAAGTAGACTTACAATATTCATTATCCACATTACATTTTTCTTTTTTAAGACTTTGTTATCTTTGATCATTTGAATTGCTTTATTAATATGTTTTAATACTGTTAGACTATCTGTATGCACTTCTATATACTTTCCTTCTGATATAATTAAAATTACTAACTATATTGCTACTAATTCTGCTATTGTTGCTAAGAACCAACCTTCAAGTTCCAATATCTTTTCTTTCTCTGGCCAGTTTTTTTTGTTGGTAATCTGCATCCAACTGATGCCTATCTTTTCTATACTACTTTTTTCTTTCTTTTTATATAATACTCCATCTGTATAAAGAGTATATTTGTCTTTATTTTTTCTCTTGTTTCTTATTAGAAGTTTTATTATATAGTCTGTAACTTTACTGTTAAATTTTTGTTTCTTGATTTATTTTGTCTCTAAATTTTCTATTTGTTTTAGTTCAATTAGACTTCTTTCTTCTTTTCTCTATTCTTTTACTATTCTGTTTATTAGCATTTGTTCTCATATTGCATTATTCTTGTTACTGTCTTTCTTTACTAATGTTTTTGAAACTGCCTTTAATTTATTATTCCATCTTATCTATTTTTCATAATTATATGTCATTTGTTTTGTTCTGTTTTTATAATCTTTGCATTTATTTATCTCAGTATATGTCTTGTCTTTTACTTTTTGTAATAGCCAATGCTTAGTTAAGATGGTTTTTTTTTCTTTTTTGATAACTTACTAAGTTGCTGGTCATGTTTTGGTCATATACAATTCACTCTTTCTTTCTTCTGTCTTTAGATATCTTTGTTTAGTTAATCATTAGTGCCTGTGTGTTGTAGTCTTTAATCTTGTATTGATTGTGTATTTCTCTATTTATCTGTGTTATTAACATCTCTTCTTTTATTTTACTGAATCATTTTGCTTTTTTTCCTTTACATGACAGTTCTAGATGACTTTTAAGCTATCTTTATATAATTAAGTTCTTCTCTTTTATGTTTACAAGTTGGTTCAAATATATTAAACCCTATTTATTTATTGTACTACTACTTACTGTCCATGATTTAATCCTAACTAAGTCTCTTATACTCATTCTATAACCATGTACTTTCCACAAGCAATTTTATGTTCTGATATTTATTCTTATTTCTACTGCTTTAATTATTGTTTGACAAACTAAGTTGTTCTTCCAATATTTTATTTCTTCTGATCTTCTTTCAAAGTCCTAAATGTTTTTTATTAAGCCTGCTTTCTGATATCCTTGAGCTATTTTAAGCTTTGTTAGATTACCTAAAATGTCTTTTCTATTAAGTCTTGCAAATAAACTACTTATTTGCTTTATTGTTATCTCTTGACTTAATGATCTACAGTTTTTCAGATCTTTGTAATTAATTATGCAGTTATTTGTTGTTTTCATCATGTTGCACTTATGTTTTGCCAAACATATTATCAGTTATTGAATTTTGTCAATCATCTTTTCTGATATTCTTGTTAACTGTAAAAGG